TCCCCCTCTCCCTCTCCCCCTGTCCCTCAGAAGACCCTCGCAGAGCATCCCATAGCTGAGGCCACAACGGAAGCGACACCCGCACGGCCCCCAGGCCCCCACCCCCACTGCCTAGCATCTTGCGCCCTCACCTTAGCGCAACGATGGAAGGTGGCGGTGACCACGTGCGGAGCGGCGTCGGCCAGACCATCCTCCTCCGACGGGAGGGCGAGCACCAGCTCCTCGTAGTCGCCTTCCTCGTCCTCCAGGGCGCGGGCGCCCGCGGGACGCAGCAGCAGCAGCAGCAGCAGCCACAGCGACAGCGGAGGCCTCCGCGGCCACACAGAACAGCCGGGGCCCATCCGGCGCGGAAGGACGAGGGCACGCGGGACTCGAGGCTGGCGCACCCCGGGCCCGGGCACGGCTGCAGGCTGCGACGTCCCGCCGAGCGCGGCCTCACGGGTCTAGGCTGCACAGCTGGAGAGCAGGGAGAAGCGACGCTAGCCCAAAGCCGGTGCGTCGACGCCTGCTGGTCTTCCAGGGTGTGGGTGCTCGACGCCTGGGGGCTGGGAGATCACGCCACCCCGAGCCCCATCGGACGATCCTCTCTGATTAAACATTAACCGGGCCTGGGGACCGGAGGATCAGGTTTCATCCTGCCCTCCCCAGACAACGTCAAATGACGCTCAAAGGGAGGAAAAAAACATCCCAAATCCTAACTGGGCTGCGAGCCAGGCCTGCGCTCCCCGCAGTGTCTCCCCCACCCCACCTCTCATCCTCTACCCAGTGCCAAGCCAGAACCCTGCTGACCCCACCTCGTTAGTGTTTCCGGGGTCTGTCAGGCACGCCTCGCCCCTCCCTCGAACGATATCGACTAACCTCTGGGCCCTCCTCTTCCCTATGACCCATGACCCTAGTCGGTTGGATGCAGACTCCTCACCGCCCACTGACTTCTCTCTACCCGTCTAAATGTGGCATCCTAAACAGCTGGATCCCTCCCTGGCCTCCACCCTGCTGTCTACCTTGAAGAAACTGCTTGCTTTGGGTTCCCAGCTACACCCATCTCAGGGGATTGAGTCTGCAAAGATACCAGAGACTCAAAATCCTTTGTAGGGCTCCAAACAGTTGGGGGGGTGTTGTTTTGTTTTGTTTTTGTTTTGTTTTGCACAGTATAACCACAAACTCAATGGAACAAGGGTCCAGTGAATACTTACTATGTGCTGGACAGAGATGCAAAGGTGCACAGCACAGCTCTGGCCTCCCTAGCATGTGCTGCAAAGGACAAGGCACAAGGCAACTCTGCTCAGAAGCAAAAAAAAACGGGCTTCAGATCTCACCCTGAGAATGCTCAGCAGAGTCTATCTGAATTGGGGTCTTGGGGTCCCTCCCACCTTTGTCTACAAAGACTTCACTCCAGACAGGACACTGGAGTGGGGCTAAGGTGAAGCCCATGAGAAGTGGTCAGGGCTGCCCCTTGTTCTTTTTCTTTATCCCCCATCAAATATCTCACCATCTTGGCAGAAAAGATGAGTTCATTCACATTTATGACCTCAGGCAGTGTCCACACCAAAGCCCCATGCAGTGGGAACAGCCTGGAGCAAGCCTTCCCCATGCTGCCCCAGAACACCAGGCACCTTACCCCTGTGGGCTCCCAAAGGATCTCCATGACCTTAGGTCCAGGACAGCCTCTGTTCAGTGTGCAGTGTGTGTTTGGAGGGAAATGGAGAAAGGGGAAGCTGTACAGGCACCCTGGGCTCTGTGACAGATGGAACCAGAGGGACAGTCACTTCTCATCCCACATCCTTCACTGCACTCTTCAGGAGGTCACCAGTTGGGGCCCTGCCACTTGGTTGGGTTTTCATCCCTCATTAATTATCCCCCACCATAAGTTACCCCCATGCAGCTCCTCTCTCTTTTCTGATCCATTCCCCTTGTCATAGCCACTGGTCACCAGTCTGCCTCCTCCCTCTGCCAAAGGTATATAGGTCTTCAAGCTTGAGTATACATATACTGAGTTCTTCCTTCTACTCCTGAAATTATAGCAGTGGCTTAAAGAATGTTTACCCAAAAGATATGACTGATCTTGGTACGTGGGAATGTGACCCTGTTCTGAGAGAAGGCTTAATCCAGTGGTTGCATAAACAAAAGGAGAGGAATATGCAAGACCCAGAAAGACACAAGGAAGAGGCCATGTGAAGATGGGGGTACAAATGGGAGTTGATGCTGACATGTGCAAGGAGTACCAGGAGGACCCCCAAACTGGAAGAGGCAAGGAGGGGTTCTCCAAGAGCCTTTGAAGATCACAGATCCAGCCACCCTTGTTTGAAGACCTCTGGCCTTCAGAAATTCAAAAGAACAAATATCTATTGTTTGAAGCAACCGTATTTGTGGGAATTTGTTTTAGCATCCCTAGAGAACCAACATGCCCACGTATTGCGCATCGTTTTAGAGATGCTGCATTGTTATATTGTTATAAAAATTTTTATATAGAAAGAAGAGTTTATTTTAGCTTACAATTCCAGAGGACAGTCCACAATGACAGAGGCATGGCTGTGGAGGTGACCAGAGCAGAAAGCTGAGTGTCCACATCTTCAAGCAGGCACAGGAAGCTGAGACAGCCACAATGGAAGTAAGCAAGCTATGGACTCTCAAAGCCCACCCCCAGTGATATACTTCCTCCCGCATGGCCACACTTCCTAAAGGTTCCATGACCCTCCCCAAATAGCACCATGGTCTAAGGACCAAAGGACTTGGAGCCCATGGGGGACAGTCTCATTCAAACCACCATACTGGTGGAATCTTTGGGATCACTTAAGCATAATATATCATCCGCAAATAGGAATAATTTGACTTCTTTTCCTATTTGAATCCCTTTAATTATCTTATTGCTCTAGCTAGGGCTTCAAGAACTATGTTGAAAAGGAGTAGAGATAGTGGACAGCCCTGTCTTGTTCCTGATTTTAATGTAATTGCTTTGAGTTTTTCTAAATTTAGGATGATTTTATCATATATAACCTTTATTATATTGAGATATGTTCCCTCAAATCCTATTCTCTCTGGGACTTTTATCATAAAGGCATGCTGGATTTTGACAAAGGCCTTTTCTGCATCTATTGAGATGATCATGTGATTTTTGTTTTTAAGTCCAAATGTATACAATTTGTTATTCATTAATTTATGTATGCTGAACTGTCCCTGCGTCACAGAACTGGAGTCAATTTGGTCATGGTGGGTGATCTTTTTGCTATATTCCTGTATAGGGTTTGTAAGGGTTTTTTTGAGAATTTTTACATCTATGATCATATAGCATCTATGTTCATATACAAATAGCTCTATTTTTGTTGTGTCTTTACTTGGTTGGGTATTAGAGAATTACTGGCTCTGTAGAGGAGTTTGGAAATGCTCCTTCTGTTTCTATTTGAGGGAATAATTTGAGAAGCATTGGTTGTAGTTGGTTAAAAGTATGTTGGAATTTTGCTGTGAATCCATCTGGACCTGGGAAATTTTGTAGTCAGCAGATTTTTTATTACTGTTTTAATCTCCTTATTTGTTACAAATCTGTTTAAGTTGTTTATCTCTTCTTGGTTTAATTTTGGTGATTTGGATGTGGTGTCTAGAAATTTATGTATTTCTTTTAGATTTTCCAGTGTAATGGAATATGTGTTTTGAAAGTATTCCCTTATGATTTTCTGAATTTCTTTGATATGTATTGTAATGTTTCTCGGTTCATCTCTAATTTCATTAATTTGGGTCTCTTCTTTCTTTCTTTTGACTAATTCAGTTAAGGATCTGTAAAACATACCAAAGAGCTAGCTCTTAGATTCATTGGCTCTTCGTATTGTTTTTTTGTTTGGTTGGTTCTATTTCTTTAATTTCTGCTTTGGTTTTTATTATTTCTTCCATGTACTGGATTTGGGTTTGGTTTATTCTTGTTTTTCCAAGCCCTTGAGGTGTGTCATTAAGCTGTCTGTTTGTGCTCTTTCTGATTTTTTAATATAGGCACTTGGAGCTATAAACTTGCCTCTTAGAACTGCTTTTTTTTCTTATAATTTTTTTAAAAAATTTTATTGAATTTTTGTATATTTCATATAGAAAATCATCTTTATACTCCCTTCCCCTTTGGCACCCTCCCATAGCCCCCCCCCCCCCCGGAGTTCATACATTGTCATTTGTGTTAAGACCTATCATGTAAAGTTAGTGTTTCCAGATCATCCACTGGGGTCTAATCAGCCTATCTAGAGTCCCTCCCTTTAAGAAGATCAGCCATTCCTCACCCAGCAGAAATCAGGTGCCAATAAAATTCTTTGACTAAAATTGGGCCTGTTGTTCATTTCCACAGTTCTGTGCTGGGTTATTGTTTGCTTAACTCTGCACGGGTCTTGTGCTTGCTGACGCCATTGCAATACGTTCTCATGAGAAGAATCCCAGGAGCTTATAGGACTATTTCTGTATGGTCATGCACCTCCTCCCTGACTCTTGCTATCTTTCTGCCCCCTCTGCCAAAATGGTCCCTGAGTCCTGGGTGGGTGGATTTTAATATAGGAGCCCTGTCCAAGGACCCCACACTCTGCAGACTCTTATTCTCTGTATTTTGGCCATTTGTGGCCTTTTGTGTTCCTGGTACTACTCCCCCCTGAAGTTTCATATATATAAAATAAAGGTCTATAGATGCCCTTCAGTGTGGGTTCATCCCCTGGAGTCTGGTCAACCCACCAAGAGTCTCACCCTTAAATGAGACTTAAGCTCCCCTTCCCAGCAATCTCAGTTGCCAATATTTCCTCAGGTAGAGCTGGAGTTTCTTACCCACTTCCCCATGTCTATGCTGGGATTTTTTTCTGATTTGAGCTTACGTGGGACTTGTGTGTGCTGTCACAATTGCTGTGAATTCGTGAGTAATTGACAGTTGTCTGGAAAACTCTGTTTCCTTGTGGTCATCCATCTCCACCAGCTCTCACAATCTCTCTGCCCCCTCTTCCTCAATGATCCCTGAGCCTTGGGAAACAGAAGCTTGGGAGAAGCTGCAGCCTCTTATTCTCTGCATGTTGGCCAGTTGCCGTTCTATGTTAATCACCATCTGCTGTATAAGGAAACTTCCCTGAAAGACAGGTCTGGTAAAGTTCCCAATGGCATGCAAAGGTTCTGGCAGAGCACAGGGACATGTGGGAAAGCAAACTGACCAAGGCAGGTCTGGGAAAGCTCCCAGATCTGGGGGTCCAAAAGGCTTCTACTCAAACAGAAGTTTAAACGTTTAACTTTTCATTTCCATTGCTGAGGTGGTAAGGAGACGCCTTAATTTCTTAGATGCTAGAGGTGCTAGTGTTTTATCTGACATATCAGTTACTTTTCTCATTGCTGTGACAAAACACCTGACAAAAGCAGCTTAAGAAGGGTTTTATTCTTGCCTTTCAGTTTGAGGCTACAGTCCTTCCTGGTGGGGGAGGCAGCATCAGGAGCATGAGGCAGCTCATCACACTGCGTCTGCAGTGTGCAGACTGGTGCTCTTCTCACTTCCTCCTTTTTATTTAGTTCAGGACCTCCTGCCCATGGAATGGTACCACCCACATTTAGGTTGGGTCTTCCCTCAACTAATTCCATCTAGAAAATTCCTCACAGACATGCCCAGAGGCTT